TATATATATATATATATATATATATATATATATTTGTCTGTTTTATCAGGAAAAATTATGTACCACCAACATTAGAAGAAGGTTTCACAGAAATTGTAAAAATTAATTTTATTCCACGATTTTTGTCTGAAAGAGATAAAGAATTGTATGAAATGTATTTGCTCGAAAATTAATTATATTAATTGTAATGAAAATAACTTAAAAATATCATCATCATAATTATTATAATACTTAGCATAATTGACAAACATATTAGATGATAATATATTTATAAATTTTTTCATTTATATGTATTATTTTATATGCTATCTATATTGTATGTAAATGTATATTTAAATGTATGACATAAACGCATGTACAGACAAGATATGCGGAAAACAGTTTTGTATTATTAGTCTAGAAATTTATTGGGTTATTCCCTTTTCGCGTGTAATTCAACAATCTAATTGATGTTGCTGTATAACAGCAGGCTTACTCATATTTTTTAATAATTCATATTTATGTATTTTTTTTTTTTATGATGACGTGCTATTGAACTATTGATCATGATCTTGCTTTTAAAACAGTAAAAATAATGCTGCTGTGTATGTCAATACATATTCACCTACTTATGTTACATGATTGAAGATACAAAAGTATTATTACGAGATTAATAATATTTCGTAGATAATGCGTATTTACTAAATAAATTTAAAAACAAAATATTACTTCATTTGTAATATTTTCTATGATCATCTAAGTACATGTAATATTTTTTCATATGTTTCAATTATCTAACATATTTAAACGAGCTTATAGTCATAAATCATTATATTTATTGGTATACACGATTTAAAGAGGATTACAAACCATAATAGCAATAAATCAATTGAAGAAACTACAATTTTTTCTTAATTGGAAGCATGAAACACATATTACCTTTTTGTTAGAGGTTAATTGTGTTAATTTCATTCTAACATCTTTTTATAATTTTCAATTAATATAAATTGTGCCTCAATCGATAAATATGTGCTCTTAAATTTACATGATAGGAAGATTATGGAATAATACTTTTCTGTCAATCTTGCTTTTTTTTTTTTCTTGTTTCTTCTTTTTTTCTTAAAAACAGACTTGTAAATAATTAAACGTATAGTACCACGATAAATATTTGATATATTAATTTGCAAGAATTCCTTAAGAATAGTAACATGTAGCGCCATAATCCTTATTTAGGTCCTGTTAAAAATGGGTCATAACAATGAGTATCGATGTCACAGTCTGTTTGAGAGCACATCATTGGAGCTTTAAGAATTCAACTACAAAGTTCTCTATTTGCTATATTTGGAAATACTATTTCACTATAATATTTATTATTCGGTTCTACAAATGATTGATAATGAATAATAGATCTCTCTCTCTTTCTCTTTCTTTTTTTTTTTTTATGAGTTATACTTTCTTCGTAAAAATGATTATATATAATTAATTGGAATAGCAAAAGAAAAAGAATTCTAATTTTATATGATTTTAACAGTGATTTGTTTTAACAATGATTGTAACGACAGTTTTTAATATGCTCCATATTATGTTCTCTTTCTAGAGTTCTAAATTCGGCACATTGTTCTAGTTTTTAATAGCATTTTGAAAACTCTGTAGGCACATTCTTAATTTAACATTGAAAGTGTACGTTCTTTGATACATATAATAATAGCTTATAAATAATAATAATAATAATAATAATAATAATATTTTGTTGAATAGATATTTTTTTACATTACAATACAACTGCGAATATTATAATCTTATGTGTATATTTATTATACGCATTTACCTGCGTACATAGTCGAAATGCAACATTAAGTATATATATATATGTATATTGAATTAATAGTTAAGCACAAATTATATATATATATATATAGAGAAAGGTTCTTTGTTATTGGGTTAATATTACATCTCGACCATGGAATTATTGTAAATAGTTAAATGTAATGTTTGCCAGATATCATGGCCTGTGAACACTTGGGTAGTTTGGAAATTTGCTGAGCATCAAATAGTTACTCTTGCTTATATTTTGTATTATAATTTATCTATGAATATATGTCTATAGTCAATATTGCATTTATTAACACAAAAAAGAAAAAAAGAATAGAAACAAAAAAAAAAATAGAAAAAAAAAAGAAAAGAATAAGTTCGAGGTAACTTGTATCATTCACGTTCCTTTGTAATTAAAAAAACACTTGTTAAAATATTAACAAGTGTAAAATATAGGAACGAATGTAAAACTCTTCATTTCTTGTAGATTTTTCAATTGTGCAGTAATATGGTTGCTATGGCAGCATGCTTATAGAGTAAATTGCTATTTCTGGAACAATTGCATTTTGAAAAAATTGCTAAAGATTATACGCTATCTTTCATATGTTTCTATTAGTCAATATTATTATGTCATGTCAGCAAAATATTCGTATATATTGCAATTTTTTTGTTGTAGGAACTTTAAACTGTAAAAATGCAATTCCATTGCTTCATTTGCATAAATGCATCTAACTTTGACTATTATTTAGGCAAAATGTGCTATCGTTGCTCCCATAGAAACGTTATTGCTGCTAAAATTGTCTAAATAATCAATGTGCTGCTAAAATTAATTTATAAATAATCAAATATGTATGTTAGCATGAAAAAAAAAAAAAAAATAGATTAAAGCAACAGAGCGGTTGATGGCAGCATTTTACGATTTTCGTTGTTTTATATTTGTCTTTTGTAAATAAAATCTACAAAATTGGCATTATCTTATTAATAATATTCATACATATATGTATGTATGTATGTATGTATACTAACATAAACCACAAAAGAATTAAATTGTGTAAATATGAATACAAAATTTATCTTTTTTATTACAATTACTAACAAAATATCAACTTAAAATTAACCTATTAATCGGGGAGACCTTAAATAAAATAATGAATCATACAAATTGCACATATTACGTTGCTCTAATAGCAATGAGAAATAAAAATAAAAATGATTTATTTATTCTTTGATATCATAAAAGAAGTTAAATATCTTTATTCGTCCCCGATTAACAAGTTAATAATTATCCTTTATAACAAATCAGATGTGTTACTTTAATTGATACCAACAACCGCTGCACACACATCGTTTTTTAAAACGTAATATTAGTTGATAAATTCGTAATTGTTATATTTGATTAAAAAAAAAATTAGCTAAACATAACTGCTGAATATTCTTTGAAGCAATTAAGACCAGACCCATCCTATGCTATTCTCTTTCTGTATGCTTATAAAATTCCCTCCCTGAGACACGAGGATTGGTCACGGATATTCAGCAGTTAGGCCAAAATGCTAAGCATTATTTTGCTATTTAAGAAGTGACAGTTAGCCTATCTCTATCATTTCTGTGTCTTCCACATTGTTATGTCCTACACCATTATGCCTAAAAAATTCAATTATAGATATCATATTTAATTGCATTGAATATGATATACTTATTAAATTATTACGACTTTGTATCATAATTATAAAGTAATTAAAACAGATTTACCTATGATTTTGCAAATGCGAATTATGCAAATGGAAATGTGTATTTCTTGGTGAGAAACCACGTACATTGCCTTTACGAGGACTTCTAGCATTTATAATTCTTGGTTGGTACATATCTTCAAGTATACTTGGTGCTACATATGTGAATCCCTTAGAAGACCAAATAATAATAATAATAATAATTATTATTATTATAATGATAATAAAGAAATTGATTAAAGAATTACAAGTTCTTAATTATCTTAAGTGATATTTAGTAAATTTACTAAAGTAATATTTTCGAAACAAAATACTTACCTGAAATACTCTATTAGCTGATTCACTCAAAGTATATTCTGCAGGTGAATCTATAGGGGCAGAAGTTGTGAATCTTTTGTCAAATTGGGATACGTCATCTTCGCTTGCCAATATTGGCTTGAATGGTGGTTCCAATTTTCGTGATATAACATCGTTCCAATTGATGTGCTTAAAGAATTGATGATTTTTTATTTGTTCAGCATCCGATGGTGCAGTACCTAACCTTTGTGCGACTTGTCTCTATACCATTAAATTAAAAAAACTTATTAGAATTATATTTATATTATTAAACTATTCAAAATTAATTTCAATAAATCAATGCTAAAAAAAAAAAAAAACAATCTAAAATAAATAGAGTAGTAAAGTAACAAAACGTTTATCAACCTTTAGCAGCTTTCTTATTAAATCTCTGGCATCGGGCGTTAAATATTGAGGAAGATTTAATTTGCCCCGTAGAATTTTGTCTATTGTCTTTTTTCTATTATTAGATGTAAATGGGGGCTAAAATAAAAAAGGAATAAAATCTGAGAAAAAACAGAAATATGTGAATGCATCCACTGAAAAAATTACATACAGATCCTGTGAGCATGTCATACATCAAAGTACCAAGACTCCACCAATCGACTGCTTTACCATGTCCACTTCTCATTAAAATTTCAGGGGCCCTTAGAAAAAAAAACATTAACATGTTTTTTTTTCATTAAACAGACGATATTACAAATATAAACTACACGTTCTTACATATATTCTATAGTTCCACAAAAAGTATGTGTTACAGTATCATCTTGTATATGTTCTTTGCATAAACCAAAATCAGTTAATTTAATATGACCTTCCGCATCTAACAAAATATTTTCTGGTTTCAAATCTCTGTAAAGCAAATTAATATGTAATTAATGACATACTCATTAAAATAACATTAGCATATAATGTGCTACAATATTATAAATGTATAATACCTGTAAATGATTCCTTGTAAATGAAGATGTTGCAAAGCCAATATTATTTCAGATAAGTAAAAACTGTAATTAAAGTATACGCTTTAAATTCAACATTGTTTTTATATAAGAATGTTGAAACAAAAAATAACATATACTTGTATAATCTCCTACCATGCAGTATCTTCTAAAAATATTCCTTCGTCATTTAAATGTCGAAAAAGTTCACCTCCACACATATACTCTAAGATCAAATATAATTTACCACACGTTTGGAAAGCATACATAAGGTCTACAATGAATGGATGCTGCAAGGAAATTATGTTAAAGAGAAATAGCATGGATTTGACAATATATTAATTGATTTTAATCATACCTTTACGGCTTCTAAAATATTTCGTTCAGCTTTTGTATGAGCGGTATCTTTCTGATTTCTTATAATAGATGCCTTCTGTAGCACCTATTTTATAAATACAACAACAACATTTTTTACAAAGTTTTGAAAATTCGTTATAAAATAGATAAAACAAAATTAGTGTTAAAAATATCTAGTTCTTTTTTCAATTTAAAATATAATTTTACATTTTTAGCGTAAAGAGAGAGAGTATGGCATAAGAGTAACTCAAAAACCTTTCTCATAAAATAAATCAAATGGAATTCTATAGAAGAGTGTCCAAGTGATCATAGAGTTCTTTTTTTATGTAATACTTTGTAACCCATTAAATCTTTTACAACGTTAATACATATATCGACCATATTATGTCGTAAACAAATCAATGTTATTTTCAACTTACCTTCATAGCAAAAATGGTACCACTATCATTTCCTGTTATTTTACGTACTTGAAAGACCTTTCCATATCCACCTTTTCCAATAACTTTGCATAATTCAAAATCTTGTGGTCCAGCTCTTTCTCTTCCACGATTAACATTTTGTTCAGAAATAGCAACCGTTTCAACGCCATCAGATCTGTTAGAAAATCATTGTTATTATGTTAGCATATAAATTGAAATTTACATCACCAGATGCAAAGATTTACTCACTCGATTATTTCATTCACGTTAGGATTAGGATCATAGTCCTCCTACATAAAAGGAAAACAATTTAGTTGTAATAATAATAATAATAATAATAATATTAATATGAAAAAGAAATATGAAATAATAAAAAGAAAAGTATTGAGATTCGACATATCAATGGGGAAAAGAGGAAAGTTGTTACCTCTCCAATCTCGATAACATCATCATCCGACTCGTCCCCGTTCACTGTATCCACATCGTGCAATTCAATATCAAATACCGCAGCCATTCTGGACGCGATTGTTTTTTATCAAAAGACGTCCTAAGGCTAAATAAATTGACAGTCTTTCTTGATGCAGCGTGCACTCTCAGTAAAATATTGTTGCACCTTATATAGAACAAACCTTGAATGTCTACATTACGTTCCTGACAAGAAATGCGCTGTTGCAGCATACCAAACGAATTTCTCCATAAATTCGTTGATTGGTTAACAATCTTTCTCGAGTGGGAGAAACATATTTTCGACCAATCAACAATAACATTCAAAGTCTACTTGAGTTCTATTACCACTCCTCCTGACATAAAAGCATTTTACATTGTTGCCGACTTTTGTACTTGTACATTCTCTTTAACGCGGTAAATTCAAATAATATAATTTTTTTCAACGAAACAATAGAAGGAACAGGAAAGTTTTTCAAATAATTATATGCACCTTTGTTTGATTCGAATTTAAGTTAAGATATATTTAAATACAATAACGACAATTTATATAAAGTATAAGAAAAATTGAAATGCTATTGTTTGCGCACTACTTATGCGCAATGCTATTTTTTTTTTACTAATCTTTAGATTAAAAAAAAAAATAAAAGTTTATTATATTTAATTACATACTTTATGTATTAATGTTTAATTATATTAATACATATTATATATAATGAATATTTTAATAAAAAAATAATTTAAGTTTTACAACCTATCGTAAGCGAGTCATCCCTTTATCAGACATTATAAAGTGATTTGGAACAATAGATTTGTTATCGGTATATTTAAATTGATAAAACGTATTAAATTTACAATAAGATTATGCTGATTTTTTTTTATCTTATTACCGATAAAATAACGTTATTTTAGTTGAAAATTTTCTCTTCTTACAAATAAAATAAAAAAGGGAAAATGACTATTCGTCATCACGTAAAAGGATACGATGATTTCGTTAAATTTTTTGAAAATTTAAAAACTGAAGAACCAGTCTTTGTTTTATATACAGGAGCAAAGCTTGAAAATGGTCAAAGTTGGTGTCCCGATTGTGTGGAAGGTAAAACAATCTTTGTGCTTTGTTCTTTTGTTTCAAAGTACATAACCTATTTTGTAATTAGTCATTAGTTCAATAATATACTATAAATTTCCCTTTGATTCATAGATCTAAATAAAGTTATTTCTATTGTTTCATTTCTGTTAAAAATATTTGAATAGTCTTATAGTATTCTAATAAATAATAATATTAATTTAATCTAGCGGAGCCATTTATAGAAGCCGGATTAAAAACACTCCCTGAGAAGTCCCATTTTGTCGAGGTTCAAGTAGGAGATAGAGCATTGTAAATATTATACAATTATTTTTCATTAAGTTTAATAAATATAATATATTATGATTTAAAAATATATGTTCTTTTATTCTTTTATTTTTTAGCTGGAAGGATCCTAATTGCGTATTCCGTAAAGATAATAAAACTCAATTGAAGGTGCTACCAACATTGGCTTTATGGGGAACTCAGAAACGTTTACAAGGTAGTGAGTGCCAAAGCGAAGTACTTCTTGATATGTTATTTACAGAAAAAGACGATTAAACTTGTTTATTTTACATATATATATATAGTGCTATTATTATTTTATAATTCAAAAAAGTATTGAATATTCTCTTAAGTAAATTTTTGATATTGGCAAGTATATAAGATACTTTAGTTAAAAATATTGTTTTTTTTTTTATTTGATAATGGTTTTTCCATTACTTATTTTATACAATAAAATCACGGAATGAATTATTATATTTAATTTATCACATTATCTTAATTGTTCTAATTTGTTTTCAGCCAACTTTAATTCGATTTATTTAGCTTTTAATATCTCATTTATAGATTTATGCGTACATGTTTTATATTCTATAAATAATATCACGTCAGTAGTGATCTCGTAAAACGTGTTTCACATATTTTATATTAAACATTTTCTTTTTTTTTATAATTTATTATAAAAATAGAGTAAAAATTCTTAATTTACAAGTAATATAAAAAGTTCAAAAATTAACATTTTTCAATATTAATAAACTAATGTATATATATTATACAGAATCTTTCGCTTAACTCGATCACTTCAAATATTTAATTTATTTCGTACGATAGAAAAAAATGTCACAGGAAAAAATGACTTTGAAAAAAAAAATTCAGCCCGTTACTATATCAACACCTTCGAACAGAATATTCTTTTCCTCTGGCATTTTTTTCTATCGTACGAAATAAATTAAATATTTGAAGTGATCGAGTTAAGCGAAAGATCCTGTACACATTACATATTCTAAATTTATGAAGAATATTTTAAGATATAAAATATGATAATATTTTAACAATATTTTGTATTAATACACTAATAAGATACCATTACCATTTATATATAATTTTATAGTTTTTCTTGATATATTATATTATTACTATTCGCATGTTATTCTATGGCATCTGTGATTGAAAATTCTTCCGTAGGAGGTAACATGCGAATGCAATAATGAATTTTCTTACTCTTCAATATACTGTAACTATTATCAAAGATGACGAAATCTATAAAAAAAAATAAATATAGATGTGAATATACAGTATAATAACATATAAAATAGTAATTACAATGACTTACATTTAGCTAATTTTTCACAAGTTAAAAATCCAATCTCATTCAATAAGTGCGCATTTATTTTTGTAAAAGGTACGGCTTCGGTCATTTTTCCGGATGCATCTTCTTTCAAAATACCGAATTTAATATCATTATCTTCCGTGCGAAAATCCCAACTATAAAAACAATATTCTATGTTATTTCATTCTAAATGAAATATATATTTTTGTAATAAGTTTATACCTTAAAATAGATCCTTCTTCGGACGAATCCAAACTAAGTTTTATCTTATCTCCTTTGCGAATAGTGACAGTAGTATATTCCGAAGATTCATCACTTTCTTCTACTTTATCTAGATACATTTCCTTCGGTATTTTTCCACCTATACAAATCTATACAAAAAATATAGGTAAATATTAATTATAAAACAAATAATATTATTTGAAATATTAACAAAATTGTAGTTACCTTTGTTATAAGTCTTGGATTACCATCGGGATCTTTTAAAGTGCCTCCATAACATGCAGGTAGTTGATCGGGTGAAATTTGTTGCAATATCGCGGGTTTCCATTTCGTAGGGTCTGGTCTGAATACATGTAATTTCGATATTGTATAATCGTTCAAAAATTTCTTAGCTATGGAAAATCCAATAGAAAACACTTTCGGGGCTACAAAAATATTATTAAAATTGATTGATAATGTTTTATATGAAGCAACTAATAACTTGGAATGTTAGGTAATTTGGCTAATTTACCATTAATGAGGTAACAAACTTTTAAGATTTCTGGATAATTTGCTTCATATAATTGAAGGCACGTTAAGATAGTTTCAGTAGCTAAAAATGACAATAATGTTTTTTAATTATACATCAATATATATATTAACACATATACACACACAAAACTTTGAAATAACTTACAATAAGATGTAATTTAAAAAGATGACTTAAGTAATACGTAAGCTTCTATTTCTTATAGACAGTTCACGATTTTACCTGAATAAATTACCTGGCCTCCACAAATATGGCTTCAAATTGAATCCTTCTAGATCGAAGATAGCTGTAAGTTGTCCAGCTTTAAAACCATGCTTTTTAGATTGTTCATCGGCTATCTTTACATAACGTTCCAAGTATTTGATCACAGTTTTTATTAATTGTTTTTTTGTAATTACGTGAAGTGTTCCGTAAATATCAAATTCGCCAAAAATTACTACAATAACTAAAAAAATTCATTAGTAATATAAATATAGTGAGACTAATAATGTTTTATTTATAAAAAAAATTCATGAAGTATTATATACCTGGTGAACCTTCTTTGTCGAATCCACATATTCCATGTGGCCCATACTTTTTCATAACTTCCGGTTCATCATATTCAACTAATTTGTCAACTTCCCATTGCTTACGCCATTTTAATGACTTAACAAACAAAAAATTTGTTTCGTTAGTTTTTTCATTTTGATTTCTATATTCTATAAATAAATATACTTATTTCTTATTAAAAAAAAAAAAAAAAAAAAACAAAGAAACACCAAAGAGAAAGTTATGCTATCAACCTAATTTTATTTATAACGAATAATTTATATTATACTCACGTTTCTCAACATTTTTTCAGCCGCCTCAACGTTCCAGTTTCGTGCTAAAAATTAATATAAATTTTATTTATTATGTAAAATAACATTTTTACAAGAATTTATATTAATTTTGTATTTATTTAATACATTCAAGTATCAAGTCAAATCCTATCAATTTCGGTGATTATCTAAATATATTTTTTTGATAATATTTCATGACTCATCAACGAAATAATGGATCGTTGTTGATATCAGTTGTAACGAGGTCATAGTTCATGACAATGAAAAAAAAAAAAATGGAAAATTATTATATGAAGTAAAAAAAATATGAATTATAGTGGCAATGGTAGAATCGAATTGTTAGTTGATAATAAAGCCTTTCAATGGATTCAGTTAAATTTAAAATTCTAAATAAAGCCTAGAAAGAGAGAGCGATATCACGATTAGAAAGGAAGAATTGTTGACGATGAAAGAAAAAAAAAAAAAAAACCTAGAAAATCTAACTCTTGCTCAAATTATGAACCATTGTAGTGTTTAAAAGCGATAGTTCGTAAAATGAATAATTATTGCGCAGTACATTCCATTGTTGTAATAAACCGGTTTGTGTTTAAAATTTTGTTTAATGTTATAATATCACCTAACAGTCAATAAAATTGACTCAATTAGAATTTTATTTTAATAAACAAATATTATGTACATTCTGTTTTTTTTTTATCTCTATATTTATTATCTTATATATATATATATATATACATTATTTATCTTGTATATATTATTATAATTATTCGAAACAATTGTCGATTCGATTTTCTTATCAATGATTTTACAGTTAATCGATTAATAGAATATTTCTTACCTTTTAACCAACGAATAAGAAATTGATCATTGTGATGGGGTTGCAGGGAATCAGCCATGACTTTTCTAAACTAAAATATATCATTTAATGAAAATATTGTATCAATCTAATTGATTTGTATGTAATATTGATAATATTTTTTTTTTTTATAAACAAACCTTTAATTCATACTTTTTCCTTTTATTGTATAAATTTCTGATTTGCATTTTTCACAAATAATAATTTAACGCTCACGTAATATCCTCTTAAGCATTTATTTTTTTCTCAATTATTGTAATAATATTTCAAAATAAAAAAATAATTTGTTTTCATGGATAATTTAACAAGCGAATGTAATTTACAACCTTGGGACAAGGTTATTTTTTTCATAATATAAAAAATTTATATTTTCTAACTAGAATTACTAATGTTTAGTAAAATTAATTTTTTGCATATCTCAGGTTATACTTCGTTTTTATCAGATTACGTAAATAATTCATATGACGCATATATCGAATAAACTTTACGTATAATTTAATGTTAGAAAAATATGAACAAAGAAGTATTTAACAATAAATTTACAGGATTGATTCGTTACGAAGAGAAATTTTATCGTTTTTTCTAAGAAATCATTTCACGCTGAATAAGTAGTTTTTCTTTTTTTTTTTTTTATATATACGGAAAGAAATCTTTTTGAAGTCAACGAACGTGTCAAATAATGATTTTTATTTTGATTTTAAATTTAACATATATTTAATATTGAAATATTTCATAAATGTAAATAAAATCGACAGTTCTTAATTATATGTGGATGCAGTAGATTTAATTGGACGTTAATATTAAACAGGTTTAAATAATTTAAATATATTATTTTTCGATGCAAGTGATTTTCCATTAATTTCCGTTTAAATTATAAGCTAACGGTTCACGTAAGCATTTGAGAGGTAACAAAAGAGAGAGCAAGAGATAGATAAAGAGTATAAAAAAACAAGAACACGGAAGAACTTTCTTCCATTTCTTTGCCAATTTTTAACGTTAGTGTAACATAAATATAAGCTTACTTTCATCAGTGCAAATCGTTGGTTGTCCAGCAAGTTCAATGAATCCGTCATCGTTATTATTATTGTTTATAATTTCTGCGAAATTAAGATCAATGTAGAAATCTAGAAAAAAAAAATAATAACAAAGAAAATTAATAAAAAATACTTTCTCAAGAAAAGAATCGTTCGTGTTTCGTTTTTTTTTTTTTTTTTTTTTTTTAATTTAATAAAAACAATAAGAATAATATAAACGTTTTAAAATGAAACGTTAAATAATGAAGAAAATATTCTTCAAAATGTCACTATTTTATTTTTCATCTGAAATTTATTTTCTTACTTATTTCTTTTCAATGTTTCTTTTTTCTGCCGTGTAAAAAAAAAAAGAAATTATATGTAACTAGATGTGGTCTAACACCTTAAATCACTCACCTGTAACCAAGTATCGAAGAAGAGAAAGACAAAAAGAACTGTTGCCACACGATTGATGTTTGACGCGAATCGATAGCCAACTGAAATGCGAACGTTAAGTAGGAAAACTTAATATCTTTCAAGTAACAAATAGTCTGTACAACTCCCTCCGGTTTATTTGAGATTAAAAATGGCGGGATTCATTTTTTACGAACATAATGCCTCTCTACTCTACGTTTCAAACCAAAGTTCAATTCATTATATGTATTATTATTTAATAATAGAAAAAAAATCTATTATTATATAAATATCGAATAAAATAAATTTAAACGAATGTATAAATTACGGTCGGGCTAAAATAGAATTTTAAATTTTAAATAATTCTAAATACTCTTTCTCATATATCAAACACGGTAAGTGTACATAATATATATATATATATATAAGTCGTTCAAAAACGATTAAAAAACAAAAATTGAGATAATTAATGTTTTTTAATACATTGTTATAAAATCATTCAACAAATAAAAACATTATTTAATTTTAAATAATGAAGTGACACTATTATACGTGATTTATATTAATTAAAAATAAAATTAATATTTACGGTAAGTAAAAAAAAAGTGACGGGCAATATTGTGTTATATGTATAAGTAACTATTACACACTTTATATATAAGTGTTATATAATTAATTTGTAGAGATATTCAAAGAAATTTCAATTAAAATAATTTCGTATATTAATAAATAGTTTACACGTCATCGAACTACTACTTCAAACAGTGTACTTTGTGTTTAATTTTTACAATTCAGAAATACAGTTATGTTTTTGAAAACAAAAAATAAAATATTAAATATACATAATAAAATCAGTTAATCAAAATAAATAATAAATTTAACTTTATTCATTAACAAGTTCATATAAATTCCGTTTATTTCAAAATAGTCTCGAAAAAAAACAGTTTTTTTTTTCTTTTTTCCCCTATCATTTTTATTACAATGTTAATATAATGTATTTTCAAACTTGTTTTGTCATCCACATATCTTTACCGTATTTTAATTATTCATTTAATTCGTCCCTTTTTATCGATGAAAATACGGATGATCCCTTAAAAATTGAAGAATCATAATTCATTACGATAAGGCAATTTTTTTCGATATTTTTAAGGAAGAGTTGTTGTTAGTCGATAATTAAAAAGATTATATATATATATATAAGGAAAAGACTAAAGTCTAACGGAAGAAGAATTTTAGAATAGCTTAATTTTTAGTAAATTTATTTAATTATTCATGAAGATGACGCGTACCTTTAGTATTTGTAAAGAGTCATAATTACCTGTGACTAACAGTTCTGACAGCTCGGTATAGTTCGGTATTGGTCGGTAATGTTCGGTAACGTTCGGTAATCACAATCATAGCGGTAGATTGATTTCTCTGTTTATTATTTTCACAACACTAAGAGGTAATTTTGTACATTGCATATTACAGCTTGAAGAAAATCTTTGCTTGAAAAATGGTGGGAGAAATTCTTTTTTAAACTTTATATTCTTTTCAGAATCGATATTATTCTGCTGACACGTCTTTTATGCAAGTGAAACTTTTGTGACTTTAAAGTTACTCTTTTATTATTTTTTATACCTTTTATTGTTGCTTTTCATACTATATTAAATAAAAGAGTAAATATTAATCAATAAACAATAAACTTTGTACATAAAGTTACTTCATATATGAGTTTAGTATTAAAGAATGCAACTAAATTACGATTTTGTTAATATACACGTCCAACGAACTGCTGCTTCCTTTTCAAGAGAAATACAATTGTGTGAAGTGGTAGTGTAAGTAATTTTCTTAATAATTATTTTCGTTATTTGTAATTGTGATTTTTAAATAAATATTTAAAAAAAGTAAGAAACGTTGATTATTTCATGAACATTCTTATTAATTTAACGTGTTAACTATATTTATATATAGTTACTACTATGTTTATATAATGATAACTTATTTTATGATATATATAGTAACTAGGAAATACAAGGACTGTAACTGCAATAGATAAAGAACTTATCTCATGATATATGTTGTATCAGATTATAACATAATTTGCTATCGTTCATTATACAACATACAATAAAAATTTACAATTATGTATAGAACACTGCTATTACTAATCTTGATAGAAAAATATGTGTATATGTAAATATAAAATATATTTAGAAAATTGTCTTTCTGTGATTATGCATTTTATATTTCCAAAACATGAATGCAGGTGAATTTAAGAATTTTTTTAAATGTAAGATGCTTTTAAATAATAATATTATAACCTTTAATATAAAATAAAAAGAACTATGCGACAAATACATTCAATTTTCTATACATAATATCGGTCAATATATTTATACCTGATATTTTATTATTTATATATTTATTACTGCAAAATAATGCTTTTTAGCTTTTAAAGCTGTATTGTGATACAATTTATTTATTTAAACAATTGAAATAGTTAATTACATTTATTCAGAAAGATATTTATAATGAATTTATGTTGATAGTTTTTGTTTAGTCTTTGAATAATTATTATTTAACACTACAATGCAATTTATATGTTGTGTTGTAAATTAATAAGCAAGTAGGGAAGATTCGTATACTCTAATGGTAAAGTAATAAATTTTAAATTTATACATTAGAACCTAATGAATTATTAGGCACTTGCAATGAATGCTGGATTTTTATGCTGGATCTTGTCCAGTTGTTAACAGATGTACTGCCTTCTGAAGATTTAAAACTGAGGTAGGAACATCATCATAATTTAAAGCACTTCCAGCCCATTTAATATATTTTTGAGCTTTAGTTATTTGTTCCGTAGATAAATCAATTCCACCTATAAGGATATATCATTCTTAAAGTCATACATATTGTCATTAAATATTTGTTATACAATTAATTTGTCTTACCATCTACTTTTATAGATGGTTTGAAATCTGGAATATTACTTGTACTCTTTCCACTTCCATCATTTTCTGGTATAGCTGGTGTAGGATTAAATATGTTGACATTAGTTGGACTAGAAGCATCCAAGTTTGAAGTATTGTCTTCATTATCAGCTAAATTATTACCTGAATTAGAATTATCTGAAATGTTGTTTATTATAAATGGATATAATACAATTGATTTATTTATGTATTTATATTAAAATACATTAGTATACCTTTATTTGAAAATTCATTTAAATTATCTTCACCATCTTCATCTTTTAATGGCCCTGGTACAGGAGTTTCACCATTCTTTATACAATTGTGTAAATAAGTAGCTTTCCATTTGGCATATTTTCTATTTTGTGCCGCTTCATCTGTAAGCTCTCCGAACACCGTTAGAACATCATAAAGTAATCCTGCGGTATAAAATGATTGTATAATATTTTTTCCAAAGTTTGAAGCCCTATCATTTTGATCCGCATATAAAAACAATTTCAATGCCCAATTTTCTAAATGTGCTTGTGCACAAACATCATTAGTAATAGCTTCATTATCATGTAATTCTTTCTTAGTTGTTTCCAACCAATTCATTAATTTCAATAAAAAACTTGTTTCTTCACTAGTTTTCGTTGACAATTTCAAACCAGTTTGAAGAGCATAAAGACGACCTATTACAAAATTAACAACGTATAGGAAATAAATCATTAACGATTAACAATAATAAAATAATCAATACGTACACCAATAACTGACAACGCAATCACGTTGATCATGTGTCGTAGCTACTTTTAAATATTGTTGAATGTTTTTTAAAGGTGCTGGAACAGGTGGCAACTCTGGACTAACAACCATTATGTCTAAGCAATAAAAAAACTTATTACTTTTTATAATATTTTTATTACTTTTCTATATAAATCATCATTTTATGTATAGAACCTCTTTTGTTGTTTCTTTTTTATTTGTTTTTTTTTCTTAACACATAAGAGCTTAAAGTAAGTACTTTTGAGTATATATTGTCTTATCTAATCTCATATACACACTTAACAAAACGTTAGTTGTTTCGTTTAAAAACAAATCACGTATTTCATTGAATTATAACATTCTGACAGTATCTCATGAAGTTTACTACTTTAAAACGCAAAATATCACATCGCATAATATTAACAAACCTTAATAAAAGTGATACTCTCTGGTGGTATTGGTCGTGAAATAAAAATGATTTAAAAATATCTATGAAATAATTTGTCAATGATTTAAAGAATATCTATTAAGAGGACTGTCAATGTGTAAGTAGACACACGTTTGGATACACGTTATGAATCATTGATGAATTGATATACTACTATACTATACTATACGATTATTTTTATTGACTTTATTTTTTTAATGAATTTTTGTATCATATTAATGACCACGTGCAGCGGGGTGGCGCTGTTGTAGTAGTACTCGTAACATTGAGGTAAGTTATCCTACCTAGCGTTAGTATATTCTTCATTTTAAGTGGGAGAATTTATCTGAAGAAATAAAAATATGATTATTCGTATTAATTGTGTGTATAAAGAAAATTAAACTAAAAAATTTAACTGAAATTGCATTAGAAATAATAAGTATTTGTTAGAACAATGTAAACTTAGAGACATTGTGAAAGAGACATAATCAAAATAATTTGTATTTTTGGATAGAAAAACGCGGATTGATGGCTTTTTCACAACCAAATTCAAGAGGTATATAATTGAAATAGATATTATTTGTTTATTTAATATATAAACATAATATTACTTTTATAGAATTGCAAAATCGAAAAATCTTAGAAGAATTACAGTTAAAGAAACAAATGCTATTAAAGCAGGGTGTTGCACCAACCTTAAATACATCATTAGCTGTTACTTCTACTGGTTCTGCGTCTACTCTGGTGATTAATTATTCATTTTATTGAAATAGATAAATTGATCATTTTAAGTATTCTTTATAATTTTTTTAGCCTAATACGCAATCTACTGATGGCGTAGCAATGAGTGCATCACAAAGAGCTGCTTTACATAATGCACATGCAGCATCTACGGGTTACTTTGTTACACAAGACTCTTCTTTTGGCAATTTAATTTTACCTGTTCTTCCAAGATTTGACACTAAATGAATGCAACCCTTTTGGGTGCATTTTATTTAGTTTTACTGTGTATATAAAATAGATACCAATGAAAACACAGAGATACAAACAACATTCAGGTCTTTCTTATTTTTTTACATGTTAAAGAATTTTCATCAAGTGCTAAGTAAAAGTTAATAAGTGGCAAATATGATTAGTCTTCGTAAGCTCGAGGAATATCTACAGGAGATCGATGGATTTGAGAAACCAAAGATAAAACTTGAACAATATAATACAAGTGCACATATCGCTTCGCATATGTTATATACTGCCCAGTCTCAATTTCATGATATAGAAGGACGTGTCGTAGCCGATTTTGGATGTGGCTGTGGTGTTTTATCATTAGGAGCTCAAATGCTTGGTGCAAGTCATGTAATAGGATTTGAAATAGATTCCGATGCACTTAACATCTTTCACAGAAATTGTACTGATTTAGATTTATTTGTTGAATCGATACAATGTGATATACTTCAATATTTACCAGGTATGCTTAAAAAGAAATATCAATGATTTCATTAAGATTTCATTCAAATGAGATATATTATTTATATTATAAAATGCGTTGTAGGAAAATTTGAAAAATACTTTGATACGGTGATCATGAATCCACCTTTTGGAACTAAAAAAAATTCAGGAACTGATATTAAATTTTTAGAAGTTGCTATTAAAGCAGCTTCTAATACTGTGTATTCTTTACATAAAACCAGTACGAGAAATTACGTTCTTTCCAAAGCTAAACAACTTGGTGCAAAAGGAAAAGTCATTGCTGAATTAAGATATGATTTACCTCGTATATATAAATTTCATAAAAAAGATTCTGTTGATATTCAAGTAGATTTTATACGATTTGAATTAAATTCTTGAGTATTTGTCAATTTATTCATGAGAAATTGAATTTATTTATTCGAACTTAATACCCTGAGCAAGAGGAAGTTCATTTCCATAATTGATGGTAATAGTTGCACGTCTCATGTAATGTTTCCAAGCATCACTTCCACTTTCCCTACCTCCTCCAGTTGCTTTTTCTCCACCGAATGCTCCACCAATTTCAGCACCACTGGTACCGATATTGACATTCACTATTCCACAATCTGAGCCATGAGGTCCAATCCACTAGAAACATTTCGAGGTAATAATAGACATTTTTATTAATCATTTATATATATATATATATTTATAAGTTTATTTAAATTTAATACCTGAAATATATTTCCAATATTTTTAGTAAAAAGAGAGCTACTTAAACCTTGCTCTACATCATTATTAAGTGCTATTGCTTCCTCCAATGAGTTTGCTTCCAAAATATACACAATTGGCGCAAATGTTTCCTTTTGTATAATCTTTGCTTTAGGTGACAGACCAGAAACTATTGTTGGTTCAACATAAAAGCCAGGTCTATCCAGTTTTTTGCCACCAAACTCTATTTTACCACCACTATTTTTTACTTCTTGTATTGCTGTCTATTAATGAATAATTTATAAACATCTATTTTTATCTATCACTATCACAGGATTAGAAAATCTGACCATATATATTGTACCATATATTCATTAACAGCTTGTTGACTATGCAGTGGTCCATATAATGTTCCATCATCCAAAGGATCACCAATACGTTCCAATATACTCTTGTATGCTATTATGAGTCTCTCTAGAAACAAGTGAATTGTTTACTCTTGTTTATTACATTGTATAATCATTTTTTCAATTTACCTTTAAACTCTTTTTGTATTTTACTATGAAGAATTAATCTTCTCGTTGTAGTACATCTTTGTCCAGTTGTTCCCACACAAGAAAATACTGCAGCTCTGATTGCCATTTCCAAATCAGCATCTTGTGCAATTATTAAAGCATTATTACCACCAAGTTCTAACAGTGATCTTCCAAATCTTTCTTGCACTTTAAGTGCTACTTGCTTTCCGACCGTTGTACTTCCCGTAAAAGAGACAAGTGGGACACTAAAAATACATTATATGATATGTAAATATTATTAGTATTTATTATTAAGTAGTTATATATATTTTTTCCATCTTACCGTGGATCGTTCACCAGAACTTGTCCAATTTCTGATCCACCTGTTACCATAGATGCAACAGAACCTGGAATGCCATTTCTTTCTAAAACATTAGCAATGATTTTAGTAATCGCAATGGAGACAAGAGGAGTGCTGGGTGACCCTTTCCAAACAATTGTATTTCCACACACCATTGCTATTGCAGTGTTCCAACCATATACCTAAGGATATTTGATTTTCTTTGTATATTATATAACATATGCTATAAAAGGTTTTACATACTTCAACTTAAAAGGTCTACGTACTGCAACTGGAAAATTAAATGCAGATATAATACCAACAACACCCAATGGATTCCATTTTTCTAATAACATATGATCTTTTCTCTCAGATGGGAAAACATTACCAGGCAACATTCTAGATAATCCAACCGCATAATCACATATATCTATAAATTCTTGTACTTCTCCGATACTTTCTGGTAATATCTTGCCTAAATATAATTCCAATTAATTGTTAAATCTATATTCTTCATATCTAATTTTGTTTTTCTTTTTAATCATACCCATTTCTAAAGATACCAATCGTCCTAAAGGTTCTAAATATTTTCTTAATTCAACACCAATTTGTCGAACTATTTCTCCTCTTGTAGGTGCTGGCAAGGATACCCATTGGGGCCAAGCTTTTCGTGTTTCTGTAACAGCGTTACTGGCTTCCTGAGGTGTTGCTTCTCGAACTTTAGCTATAACTTTTCCATTAGCTGGAGAAATCGATTCAATTACCTGTAAAACATTATTCAAATGAATTCTCAAATCTTCATTTATTAATATATTATATTATTTTACATACTTTACCAGAACCTCCCCATCTTCCGTCAAATAAACCTGAATTTTCAGAAATAAGACCCAATTCTTTTAAAAATCCATATCTAGGATCAGTTACCAAGTATCTTGCCATTGTTATTCTAGGAATGTATATACTTTTTGACAGCAGATGTAACATTTCGTACTCTGGTGATCGTTAATTTACTGAATAATATACCAGAGAAGAAGAAATCTTAGGGTTATCTGAATGATATTCTTTATCAAGAATAAATAAGCAGATTAAGACATATTTATATATACTAGTATTCATACTTTTATCAGTGTTCATATATATATATATATACGTATATAAAAGTAACAGTAAACATATCACAGTAAGATAATATATGGACTACTTGAAGTGTGGCAAATTTTTAAAAAATCGGATGGGGGACGATCGCACCGTCTCCTGAGATTTGAAAACACAATAGAATAATTATTCATTAAATAATTTTCTATTATTATTATTATTATTATTACACTAAAAAATGTGTGTGTAGAGAACATATAAAAAGACGAGTTTTATTAATAACAATAGTTTGGACATACATTAAAGTCGCGCGGCAGTGATTTACGCAAGATATTAAATATTACAAAATGTTTGAATTTATCTTTTTGTAAAATGAAAAAATGTATATTTTATCTCTAGGCACTGGAAATAGTCTTAAGGAATAATGATTTGTTTTCAAATGCTATTTATGAAATATTATCAAATGCAATCACTTTATTATTTGAATACTTATATGTATTTAACCTGGCCTACACAGTTGATAACATCGTAAGTCAGAAATAAGTTGAAGAACAGATCTTGTTAAAGTTGGTTGGTCCTAAAACATTCGTTCATTTTTTTTATTTATTTATTTATTTATCAATCTTTTAAATGATTTACTTTTTATTGTATATTTAATTTTACTTACAGTTGATTTGTCAAAGTTATCTAATAATGTAGCTCTTTGCATATCATCGACACCTTCACAGCTAGTTAAAAATGTAGGAAGAAAATGTTGAAAGAACCATCCTATATTTACAGATGCTAAACTATGTACAGCAACTGCAATTTCATCAGCTAATAGATTGTGAGATCTGAAAATAAATTGAAAATAAAAAAGAAGAAATATTTGAATTAAACAAATTTCATTAAAAAATGAAAAGCACACTTACTGTTGAAATAAAACTGTAAATAGGGCCATTAAGAATCTTTCAAGTAAATGGACTTTAAATATGGATCTTTGATATAGTCGCCACCTTGCATTTAGTTGTTCAAGACTTTGCAAACTTTGGCGAAATATATTAACGTCTGGTTGCAATAAAGCTTGACCGAAAGCTTCTAAAATTGCAACTAATTCTTCTTTATGTTCAACGGGTTCATCCTCATCTGGATGACCAAGTGTCCGTAATACTGATGTATTATAAAAGTATTGCCATTGATGTGTAAGAATGCTAAATAATAAAACTATTTATTATTACTAATATAATGAATATAATATATAATAGAAATATTTGTTTATATAATAAGTACCTATAAAAAAGTTTTAATAAAACAAGTGTAGTATCAGGAAAAGCACTAAGATCATTTCCAACAGCAGGCCATACGTGACCCAAACATAAATTAATTACAGATGGAATAAATGCTTTGGATGCGCTAGTAGGTGCTGATATTACTAATATTAATATTTCCAATAATTGATCTAATGCAGGTCCAGCAGAAATGTTTTCTCTGTATAAATAAATAAATAAATAAATAATATAAAATGATGTAATTAAAATTAAAACAAATTATATATTTAAATATATACCTAGTATAAATTTGTAACATTCCTTGTACTGCAGTTTGTGTAAATTCGGGACCTAATTGTTGTTGCAATACTAAAAATACTGAATATAAAAAATTAAGTACAACTTCGCATATATTATGATATCTTATCAAATATGGTAAAAGTTCTAATGATCGATCGATACTAAGTTTTAAATTAGAATGCAACATTTTTTTGACAGTAGTTGATGAAGAAGAACAATCCTCTAATAATTGAGTTAATGATGGTACAATCGTTAATATCGTTGAATCAGAAGGTAAAGATTGGCCTCGTGCTCCTAAAGGTTCTGCCAAAGATCCTACCATTGTGCCTATTAATCAATGAAATTCGTAATTATTTAATAAAATAGATTTGATTTTGTTCAAATTTCATTTTGTTTATATATATTTACCAATCAGTCTTTCTCTTATAGTTCCATCTCCAGTTGGTAAAATAATAGCATTAATTAATGCTCGTCGTAATACTTTGATAGTATCAGGTTTTAAAGATGGATATGTTCTCATGGAAATTAAATTTCTAAAAGTATCATTGTCCCACAATATAGGTTTCAAGATGGCAGTAATACTTTGAAAAAGATGAGTTGCAGAATGAACGAGATTAAAAGGTGGTACATCACAAGAAGCAGTATATGTTAATGCCCAAATGCACGAATTAACGCAACTTTGACATAAAGTTTCTTTTATTTTGTCAGGTCTTTTTGCTATCCAGTGACACCATGCCTGAAGTGATGCTAATAGTTGTGAATGACTAATAGAATATACAATTATCAATGAAATATATGTAAAATAATCAAATATTATTATTATATCAATTTTGATATCAATGTTTTACTTACACTTCAATAATATCTAATACTATGGTTGGTGGTTGTAATGCTGCTTTATAGAGTTGATTATCTCTAGCAAAAATACATGCATCTAATGTTTGCGAAACAACTTCTTCTGCGAAAGATTGATCTATAGTTGATTGATCTCCTTTAACAAAATATATATTTTATTAAAAATATTATTATTTTCAAAGGATTATTTTAATTAAAACTTACCAATAAAAATAGAATATAATCTAGCTAAGGCTTGAGTTGTAGAAGCCAAATCACGTAAGTGTACATGAGCATTAGAAGCTTCTGCATCATTTAGTAAAATAATTTGATTATTAGTTATTGCGTTACCTAATTCTCCGAATATTATTA